CAATCAGAGTATGTACCTGTCTAGGTCAGTTCAACATTTGGCTTGGTCAGGTCCAGTCTGTGTCCTCAGGTGGTGGTGGCAGGCAAGTTCAGTTCCAGGGGGGTCTAGGTACAGCTGACCTCATGCAGATGACACCAGAGGTTAGCTCTAGTGAGCTGTAACCTCCCAGGCTTGCTTTCTGATCACTCAGCATCACCATGAATGTGTAAGGCATGTCATGTAGCACACTTCTGAAAAGTGTTGCAGCTGAGACTGTGTCTCCAATTTAACACTGAGGATGCATTTGTTCTAAGTTAGAATAGGTTTTGAAAACACTGGTAGTAACAGGGGCCTTTACTTCTCATGTGTCTCTAGATCGCTTCCCAGTTACGACTCTTCGACCCTCAGCTGAAAGAGAAGCCGGAGGAGGAATCCTTTGTGGAGCCCACCTGGCTGGTCCAGCTGCAGCGTGTGGAGAAGCAGGTCAAGGTGAGCTGTAGCTTTTAGTCATGGGACTGATGCTGGCTTGTGCCACTGTGGTTTTCAATTGTAGTGTTAGCTGTAAACAGGACAGTTTGGGAGGTATTTGTCAGAGGGCCTCTCTGCAGGATGGGAGGGTGGTGTGAGGGGGGGCTGCTGAAGCCCAGCATGCGCAGGGCAGTGGGGATGGGCACCCACAGCCTTGCTGTTGGCGAGGCCTGAAGTATTTCTCCCTCAGGAGGGCGCTCTGGTGTGGCGTCAAGACCCAACTTTCCCCCAGCGCTGTCCCAGCACACCAAGCTCTGAGGTGGGACAGTATAACGGCCCAGGACTTGAGCAGCCCTTGAACCTGGGCACAGAGAACCCGCTGCTGGTGCCACCTGTGCCCAGCGCCGAGCACTCTGGCCAGGGCGTGTGGCTGCTGCCTTTAGGTGAGCCTGCATGCAGGGGAAGGGCCCGAGTACCTTTCTCTCGAGACTGCAGCTTCTAGATGTGGAGAACCCAGGGGACACTGTACCATCTCCATCTCCTCCTCTTAGCATGCTTATTTCCTTTCTGAGCCCAGCAGGGCTCATGGCCTTGAATGACCTGGGGGTAGGGGGGTGGCCAGTTTGAACCCCAGAGGTGGAGGTTGGGTCATGCTAGGGTTAGAGCCATGCCTTATGTTGTCATTACCCTCAGCACTAAAAAGCGTACGTTCACCTTGTCCCAAGTCAGTGATGTCTTGGCCTCTTCAGCACTTTCTGCTTCAATGTTGGGCTGTCCTGTCTCTTAATAAGAAATACAGCCGTGCACGACGCTGTGTAGTAATTGTCTGATCGTCACCAGTGGGCTTCTTCAGGCAATGGACTTGGCTGCAGTACCTTTGACTCTCTCTTCTCCACTGTCTCCGTGCAGCCCCGCCAGCGCTCCCCGATGGCCCGCCATCCATCCCTGCCACGGTGCCCATGTTTCCAGTGCCACCCGCAGGCCCTGTTGAGCTGGGGCCTGGCTGTGGAACCCCAGGGTCTGCGCTTGGCGTTGCAGAGCCCTCTGGGCCTGACCCTGCAGCCCTGTATCCAGGGCGTGGCCTGCCACCCAGCTCACCAGCTCTTCCGGAGAGTGAACACCTGCTCCGGACCCAGGACCCAGGTGGGTCTGCTGAGGTGTCATCCTGAGAGCAGAGCTGAATTGGGTTTTCTGTTCCAGGAGTTCATTGGTGGAAGAGATTGAAGTCATTTGTACTTGAAACAAGTTACATTGTTTAGTTTATACCAAAATCCTATATGTTTTAGGTTGAATGGGTTAATGGAATGTCAGTAGTAGTCTTTCTTGTGACTTTTGTTAGGATGTGAAATGTGGCTGTCTAGGGCATGATTACTGGCCTTGAGGTACGCCCAGGCTGTCGCCCTTGTCATGTGCCTGGGACCCTCTGCCTGGAGTTAGAATTGGTGGCTCTTATACCTGATCTGTGCCTTTCTATCTTTGCCTGCTTGGACAAAGCAAAGTGGAGACTTGAAAAAACTATTGGCCTGTTCCTCAGAGGATGCTTAGGCTTGGTTCTCATGAAGCACTGGGAGGACATGGCCCTCCGTGTGTCTTATCTATGTCCACGCCCCTCTGTCCTTTGCTCAGCTGCTCCTCTCTGCCATTGACAGGAATGATGCCACAGGACACCCGCCGGAGAAGCTCACTGGCGGAACGAAGAGAAGAGGATTTTGGTGGCAAATTTGACAATGTGGTACTCCCCCACCTTTTCATTGAATAGGGACCCAGACTCCTTGTTCTTCAGTTGCAAGTAGACAGATGATACTGAAAATAGGAAATTATCTTTTAAGTTATTTCTTAAAGAGAAGACACTTCTTAAAAAGCTGGAATCCTTAAAGTACGGAGACTTGAGACTTGGTAAAAAACATGAATGGGAAAAAGATAGTTGTGTAAAAGTAGTTACTTTAAGGAGAAGAAAGAAACACCCACCTGGTGGAGCCACGCTGTTAATTGTAACTTTCCTAA